CTATCAGTGATCAATCAGTGATCAATCAGTGATGAGTCAGTGATCAATCAGAGATCAGTCAATGATCAATCAGTGATCAGTCAATGATCAATCAGTGATCAATCAGTGATCTATCAGTGATCAGTCAATGATCTATCAGTGATCAATCAGTGATCTATCAGATTAATTCAGGAATATAATTGTTGCTGAAAGGCATTGTGGGAACTGTAGTCTACAGTGTGTGTGTTGGACCTACTCGTTGTGTTTGGGAGCGCAGACGATGGCGATGGCCTCCGGCAGCATCAGCTGATAGGAGCAGTGAGTGTGGAGGTCGACACTGGAGAGGAAGGCCGTCTGAGTGGGGTGAGTCTGAGCACAGAGAGGTCAAAGGTCAAAGGTCAGAGACTGAATCAGGACCACCCAGGATAGAGGGTGGTCCTGTAGAGAGGAACTGGTTTTCAGTGGACAGGAAGAGTCAGACCTCTTCCTCTCTCTCCCTTCTCATCTGTTGCACACAGGCACTGTTGCCATGGTGATATCAGATCATGCAAATGAAGGAGAAGAAAAAGTACAACGAAGGTAATTTTTCTGTGTGTGTGTTATCACATTGTGGGGACTCACACCTGATTGCCCACTCACACTGTGGGGACCGCACAGGTTTAACTATCTATATATATGTATAGTTACATATATATATATACATATATACAGTTAAACAGTTTAAGATAGATTTTAGATATACAGTTTAACTGTGTATCTCTAAAATCACAAAGAAATCTTTCTCTGAAACATGTTTAATGTGTGTTTACGTTGTTTGTTAGCTGATACGCCCCCTTTCCTCTCACTGTACAGGCTATAAACATATTCAGATTTAGGCTGTATGTTTAGCGTGTATTAGCTGATGTGTTTAGCATGTAGTCGTACATGGATCCAGCCCAACGTCAGCAGGTTCTGTTGGTCCTGGAAACTGAACAGTTCCTCCACGTTCTCCATGTCGCAGAAATCTGGACCGGCCGACTGTTTGGGGATCACGACGTGAGTCAGCACGAACTCGTTGTGCGTCTGAGGGCGAAAGACATTGACACAGACAGCAGAGGGGAGGAGAGAGACTGAGTACTTGGTCAGCTATGAGTACTACAACAGAAGTACTACCTCACTGGTCCCAGTCTCACCAGGCGTCCACAGAGGACTCCGCAGGTCTCGATCCCTCTCGCCGTGTTGGAGTCGGCCAGCAGGAGGAACCGATATGTCAGATCTCTGGGAATCACCACCCGCCTCAGACCCTCCACCCTCTGAGCTGCACACACAAAACAAACACTCACACACAGGACAGGTACTGCCAGGTACACACAAACAGTACACACTGAGTACACACCGAGTACACACCGAGTACACACAGTCAGTACACACAGTCAGTACACACCGAGTAAACACCGAGCACACACCGAGTACACACAGTCAGTACACACTGAGTACACAGAGTACACACAGACAGTACACACTGAGTACACTCAGTACTTTTGTACTCACTGTGTACTCCTGCCAGCGTGGCAGCTGGTTGGCTGACGGGAGCTGGTGGTCTGTTCCTGTTAGGATCCGCCCCCTGGGAGCGTAGGCTGTCTCTGATTGGCTGCTGAGACAGACAGGAGCCGTCCGTCACCTCAGGCACTTTGGTCCCCTGAAGGAGAAACACGTTACCACAAAAACTACTGCAATGCTGGTGATACTACACAGTACTGTTATTAATACTACTAATACTACTACTGATATCAGTATTAGTATTAGTATTAGTATTATTAGTATTATTAGTATTATTAGTATTATTATTAGTATTAGTATTAGTAGTATTAGTATTAGTAGTATTAGTACATTACAGCCTATTCTCACCTTTGGCTCCGCCTCCTCTACTCTCCTATTGGCCAGTTCCTGGCGCCTCAGCTGGTCCTCGAAGTAGCGGAACTGTTCAGATTCGATCTGCATCCGTCGCAGGGCGGCAACTCGCTGCCGCTCCTCCTCCAGCAGCAGGAAGCGCCTCCTGTCCTCGTCCAATAGGGAGAGCCGCTGCAGCTGCTGGCCACACCCATCCGCAACCACCGCCTGACTCTGAGGGAACAGGAAGTCACATGATCACGGCTGCGGACACCTACAGATAGCTACACTGTTAGCATAAAGCTGATTTAATGTTTACACCCAGTTTACATAGAATACATTGGTTTTAGCCTAGCTTAGATTAGCCTAGCTTAGCTTTTCCAGGTTACAACCACGTTCTTTGTCTGAATGCACGTCAGTCATATACCCATAATGCACCAGACCTCAACTCAACAGGAGTCCACAGAGAACACCTGATCAATAGAATAATCAATATTCACTGATACCGTTGATTGAGAGAACTCTGTGACAGAAATAAACCTGTCAATCAATCACACGCTGCACTCTGATTGGACAGCACAAACACACCTGAGCTCTGAGGTACTCGCTGTGTTCCCTGCTGTATTTCTCCTGAAGACGTTTCTTCAGCTCGTCTTTACGAGGAAACGCCACTTCCTGAAGTTTCTGTGGAGTCACAGTACAAGTATCAGTACGAGTACTAGTAGTATCAGTACAAGAACTAGTAATATTATTAGTAGTAGTACACAACATGAAGTAGAAGCAGCAGATCTTTGTATACATTGAGAACCACCAGTAGAAGTTCATTACATTCATTGAGCAGACATTGAGTCACGATATAGTAATGTAAGAACCGTTCTTCAGTCTTATGTTGAAATGTAGTCTTATTTTGAAATGTAGTCTTATTTTGAATTTCCTGTTCAGTACGGACAGTTTAAGGTCCAGACACCCAACTGTGAGCCTATCGTGACGTCACCATCAGCTTGTGGAGAACCACTTTGAAGACTCGAGTTTGGCATTTGGCCGTCACCATGACAGTAAAATGCAGCCAGCGGAGGTCACGTGAAG